GAGGGGATCCTCCCACCTCAGCCTCCTGAGTAGCTGGGACTACAGGTGCCTGCTACTATGCCTGGCTACTTTTTTATTTTTTTTGTAGAGACAAGGTCTCTTTATGTTGCCTAGGCTGGTCTCAAACACCTGAGCTGAAGCAATCCTCCCACCTTGGCCTCCCAAAGTGCTGGGAGTCCAGGCATGAGCCACCATGCCCAGCAATGTTTTGCTCATCTTTACCTGACTCAGGTATCCCCTCTGTCCTTCCAGTCCCACGTGTGATCATACAGCCATAACCCTGCACAGACAAGCTTCTTAAAAGGAATACTATACCAGATCTTGTTTTCTAGACACCACTTTCCACTAAAAGGATATGGGACTCCTTAGAGAAATGGCTGGTTCCAGGGCTAGGACAGGAAAGTATAAGAGGAGACTGAACATCTTATTGTGCCAAAAAAATAGAGGTGCTCGAAAAAGGATGGGGATATATATATGAAATAGCTTGAAGGGCACTTTATCTTACTTGACTTTTTAATAGCCTATGAAACTACAAATCTCATCTTCCTTGAAACTCCTCTAACATCTGGTCTTCTGCTTCTGATTATCTTTCCTCAATGACGGCTCCTTTTTTTTTTTTTTTTTTTTTGAGACGGAGTCATGCACTGCCGCCCAGGCTGGAGTGCAGTGGTGCGATTTCAGCTCACTGCAAGCTCCGCCTCTTGGGTTCACGCCATTCTCCTGCCTCAGCCTCCCAAGTAGCTGGGACTACAGGCGCCCGCCACCACGCCCAGCTAATTTTTTGTACTTTTAGTAGAGACGGGGTTTCACCATGTTAGCCAGGATGGTCTCGATCTCCTGACCTCGTGATCCACCCACCTCCCAAAGTGCTGGGATTACAGGTGTGAGCCACTGTGCCCGGCCAATGATGGCTCCTTCTAAGAGTCTTTTCTGGGTATCTCATTTTCTGCTCATCCCATAAGTATATGGGATATTCCTTGCTGCTCTGTCCTCAGCCCTTTTCTCATTGTTTTCCTTCTCTGGGTGCTCTTTGCCAGTCCTACAGCTTCAGCTATTATATATACAATGGGCCAGGTGCAGCGGCTCACATCTGTAATCCCAACACTTCGGGAGGCCACGGCAGGTAGACTGCTTGAGCCCAGGGGTTCGAGACCAGCCTGGGCAACATGGTGAAACTCCATCTCTACCAAAAATACAAAAATTAGCTAGGTGTGATGGTATGTGCCTGTAGTCCCAGCTACTTGGGAGGTTGAGGCGGGAGGATTGCTTGGGCCCAGGAGGTCAAGGCTGCAGTGAGGCAAGATTGAGCCACTGCACTCTAGCCTCAGCAACAGTGTGAGATCCTGCCTCAAAAGAAAGAAAGAAAAAAAAAAGCTCTCAAATATATATATTTCTGAGTTATATTGTGTGTAGCTACAGGTAGGTAGGTAGATGGATGATTGATTGATTGATAGATAGATAGATAGATAGATAGATAGATAGATAGATAGATACAGCACAGACATCTCTCTTGAGCCCCTGAGCCATAAATCCATCCAATTACTTCTTGGATATCTCCACTTGGAGTAACCCACTAATATCTCAAAGATACCTTGTTAAAAACTGAAGACATTTTCTTCTTCTCCTCCAGTGTTCTTTATCTCTATTACTGGCAGTACTCACACCTGATTGTCCAAGCAAGAAAACTCTGAAATTATTCTTAATGTCAATGCCCTTTAACCAGAGACCACTAGGAACACACCTCTAGTTAAACAAGTTGAGTTTATTACTCATTGCAGCAAAGAACACACAACATAGGGAACCACGGGGTGTCTCAGTAGGAGTGTTTAGAAGAACCTAGTATAGAATTTGGGATTGGGAGAGGGTCTAAGGAAACAGGGGTTTGCTCCAGACTGGATACTATCAGAAAGAAGAATTTCATGATTATCTCAATACATCTTCTCTACAGGGAAGGCAGACTAGAGCTGGGACAAAGCCGTCACTCATAAAGTAGCAGTTGCTCATTTTAGCTGAGAGAGGGTGATTTTTGGTACTTTCTGGATGGCACCGTGACCCTCTTTTTGCCTGTGCTTAGACAAAATTACGAAGTGGACTTGTTTTTTCTCACTTTATTAAAGTCTCAGAGTAATCTTGTTTAATGTTGGTATTCTGTGAGATTTATGCCCAACAGGAAAATAACATAGCCTAGCTGTGAATGCCAAGTCAGCTTTCAGATGTCAAGAGCAGCTTTTCTCCCCCGATTTTTCATTAATCACTCTCCGTCATTCCATATAAATTAGTTGCCAACCCAGGTGCAGTGGCTCACGGCTGTAATCTCAGCACTTTGGGAGGCCGAGGCGGGCGAATCACTTGAGGTCAGGAGTTCGAGACCAGCCTGGCGAAACTCCATCTCTACTAAAAATACAAAAATTACCTTGGAGTGGTGACGCACACCTGTAGTCCCAGCTACTCAGGAGGTTGAGGCACGAGAATTGCTTGAACCCAGGAGGCAGAGGTTGCAGTGAGCCGAGATCACACCACTGCACTCCAGCCTGGGCGACACAGCAAGACTCTGTCTTAAAAAAAAAAAAAAAATTAGTTGCCAAGGCCTATTAATTTTTACTCTCTACGTATCTCTGGCATCTCTTGGTCCCCTCTTCTCCTCCCTTAATCCAGGCCATTATCATTTCTCAGCTGAATGACTCCATCAGTCACTTAACAGTGTGCCCAGCATGCCATCATGCTCCCATTCCAGCCCATCCTCCTTGGTCTCCCTGTAGCCAGAATGAAGGCTCTGAATGCATCATCCCCTGCCAAAAATCTTTGGTTACATTACCAGCTGTGTTTCTAACATTTAAATAGTAAAATTAAAAATCAGTGAGGTTAGCAATGAAAATAAACTTTTTTCTTTTCTCCCGAAAAGGAATCAAGAAGGGTGGAGAGTGTATTTGCAGAAGGAATCAGCTGAGTTTGGAGACTATTTTGAAATCCTGATTCTCTCTTAAGAAATGATGACTCAATGCAAATCAACAGAGTGGCATGACTGCTAAAAAAAAATGTAATGCATTATTGGCACCATTCGTAAAAGTATACTGTCCACAGTAAAAAAAAAAAAAAAAAAAAGTTGTTCCGGGTAATACATTTTAAGAAATATATTATTAAAAGCATTTGCCTAGAGGAGGGCAACCAAGATAGGGAGGGTTCTGGAAGCATGTCATATGGATAATAAGAAAAAATAAAGCTTAAAGAAAAATAAGGAATATGACAAATATTTTCAAATAGGAGTAAATTTATTTCATACAGATTCAGGGGCAGAATCAAGTCTGAGGATTATAAACCATAAGCAGACTGATTTCCACTCAATATAAGGAAAGATTTTCCATTAAAACTGTCCAATAATGGCCAGATGCAGTGGCTCACGCTTGTAATCCCAGCACTTTGGGAGGCCAAGGCAGCTGGATTACCTGTGGTCGAGAGTTCAAGACCAGCCTGTTCAACATGGTGAAACCCTGTCTCTACCAAAAAAAAAAAAAGTTAGCCAGATGTGGTGGTGTGTGCCTGTAATTCCAGCTACTCAGGAGGCTGAGGCACAAGAATTGCTTGAGCTCGGGAGGCAGAAGTTGCAATGAGCCGAGATCGACAGAGGAGAAGCCATCTCAAAAAAAAAGAGAGAGAGAGAAACTGTCCAATAATGGAGTTAGGTCCATGGAAACATAGTGAACTCCCAGTTACTAAAAGAATTCAAGAGAAAGCTGAATAACATTCCAGAAAGTACACTATAAAACAGGAGCTGGCTGGGCATGGTGGCTCACGCCTGTAATCCCAGCACTTTGGGAGGCCAAGGCAGGTGGATCACGAGGTCAGGAGTTCGAGACCAGCCTGACCAACACGGTGAAACCCCGTCTCTACTAAAAATACAAAAATTAGCTGGGTGTGGTGGGGTGCACCTGTAGTCCCAGCTACTTGGGAGGCTGAAGCAGGAGAATCCCTTGAACCTGGGAGGCAGAGGTTGCAGTGAGCCAAGATCGCACCACTGCACTCCAGCTGGGGTGACAGAGCAAGCCTCGATCTTAAAAAAAAAAAAAAAAAAAAAGGAGACATTGAACTATCTGTGATGAAAGGATAGTTCTTTAATCCATTGTGGCCCAGTACTTTTATAAATTATAAAATGAAACTAGTAGAATGAAAAGAGAAAACATTTTTTTAAATGCCCCACTTTTTAATTACCTTAATGGATATAAAATTAAATTTCAATAAATAGAATTGGAACATACATAAAAGGGAAAGAGAAAAAAGTATTAAAAAACTTTTTCACTGAAAATGTGAATTTAAGATTAATATAGAGAATTTCTATAACTCAACTTTTTGTCATTCTTCAATTATAACTGAAGATTATAATTGAAATAGTGATTCTGTTTATTAGACCATTAGATATACTTTGAATAAACACAGTGCATATTAATATTTAAAAGTTTTTAGGTCAAGCGAGGTGGGTCACACCTGTAATCCCAACAACTGTGGGGGCCAAGACGGGAGGATCACTTGAGGCCAGGAGTTTGATACCAACCTGGGTAACACAGGGAGACTTGGTCTCTACAAAAAATTAATTAGCCAGGCATGATGGCAGACACCTGAAGCTCCAGCTGCAGGCTGAGGTGGGAGGATTGCTTGAGCCCAGAAGTTCAAGGTTACAGTGAGCTACGATTGCACCACCATACTCCAGCCTGGGCAATAAAATGAATGAGACCCTCTCTCAAAAAAAAAAAAAAGTTCTAAATGTCACAAATGAGCTGGTTTCTTTCTCGTTAAAATATGTAATCCAGGGTAGATTGACAATAATGCTACTCTCATGGATTGATATATATCTAAACTGTTTCCATGTTCTTTTTTAATATTATTCATAAGATGAAATCAGATTTACAAAGGGATAATAGTGGGAATGGGAAAAAAAGTTTTAAAAATAATTTCAGCATATTCAGAATATTCACTTTTAACTTTTATCCAAAATGAAGCAAGTGGTGTGCTATTTTCAAAACTCATTTTTAATTATTCATTAGTTGCCAGTTAGAACAATGTATCATATAAGCTTACAATTAAACTTTAATCCTCTTTTGATGAAATAAATGGATTCCAGATCTATGAATTTGCCATATGTAGGCATTCTTTTGTTGGAAAATAAAACTTAAAGCATTCTATCAAATTCATAATAGTTTGATTACTTCTCACAGATGTGCAATATCAAGATAATCACCAACTTCAATGACAATTGTTAAATTATGGAACATGTAATAACAATCTGTAGAAACTCTGGTCTTTCAAGCTTCTACCTTTTGCTTTTGCTCTTTGATTTTATCTGCCATTGAAAAACAAGTTACATTCCTGCCTTGTATGAAAGAATTCTGAAGCTATCAGAACTACCTTCAGATAATTGATGGTAACTCTAGCTGGCCAATTTGTATCTTTATTTTATTTTATTATTTTATTTTGAGGCAGCGTTTCACTCTTTTCATCCAGGCTGGAGTGCAGTGGCATAATCTTGACTCACTGCAACCTCCACTTTCTGGGTTAAAGCTATTCTCCTGCCTCAGCCTCTCGAGTAGCTAGGAATACAGGTGTGCACCACCACACCCAGCTAATTTTTGTATTTTTAGTAGAGATGGGGTTTCATCATGTTGGCCAGGCTGGTCTTGAACCTCTGACCTCAGGTGATCTGCCTGCCTTGGCCTCCCAAAGTGCTGGGATTACAGGCATGAGCCACCGTGCCCGGCCCAAAGTATATCTTTATAAAGCTGGGACCAAACTGGCTTCTTGCAGCAATAATAAATGTTCAAATATGCTCAACAGAACTTTCCCTCTAGATAACCATCATATCTCTATCACAGTTAAGTTTCCAAACTATTACATAATAAAGAGAACAATCTAAAACTTATTGTATTAGCCTTTATACAAGTTATAGTCTTTACCAAGTCACTGAGCACACTGTACAGTTCAGTTGATATGCTTTTTCTACCAAGAATTTTTCAAATAAAGATATAGTATGTTGATTTACATTCTAGGGCAAGCTCCTTAACTTAGGTAATTATTCCGGAATGTTTTCTTACCACTGCAGCTATCCATCCAACTGTATTGCTATACAAAGCTTCAAATCACATTTATTGGCAAGGTAATTTATTCCATACTTTTTTGTTGTTTAGAGTTAGTTGTTTGTTGGCAATGAAGCAGAAAAAGGAGAATTCTTCCTTCATATTACTATCATATTCAAATAGCATATAAACTAATTGCCATATTAGTAATATCTATACATTAATGGCACCTCAAACCAATTGCAAGAAAAGGTAATTTATTAGCTTTCTTTGTTCCATGGGTTGATCTTCCTGGATATTTCAAATTGTTGTACTGGTAATTGAGGTACTTTCTTTGCCACACAGTCTCCCAACATTTTCTAAGAATCTTTGATGCAGTTTTTCACTATTGTCTTAATAATTGCATTTTTTTTTTTTTTTTAGTTTTAGCAATCTAAAGTTGCTTACTTTATAAGATGTCTAAAAAGTATTAACGTTTATTTGTGAAATACTGAATATCTGTGCTTTCAGTTTTTTAATTAGGTTTTTCTTTCAAAGAGATCTTCTGCTTCTGGACTTAACTCTTTACGTTCTGTATTTAAATGTTGATTTAGTTTTCATGATTTTATTGCTTCATTTGCCAGAACTTCTCAGCAAATAACATGTTATGGTTTTCCCATGTCTTCATTTATGGCTAAAAAACTGAACTCAGTATATGAAGAATTATATTTATGAGTAAAACTAGAACAATCTCTTTTGGTTTTCATTTATTCAGAATCACTTTTATTGTCACCATTAGGTTTACTAATACCACTTCATTCAGAAAAGGTCTTTTCTTGATTAAAAAAAAAAAGCCAATGAAGTTATTTTGCCATCGATAACATGGTGTTAAAGATAAATGAAACAAATTACCTCAAACCTTCACATCGATTGCATTCCCTGCCTGAAACGTTCTCTCCTTTCTCTTTAAACAGATCTAATCAACACTGGTCCCCCATAAAAATATTTCCAGTGCATATATCTGACAAAAGATTTATCCAAAATATTTAAAGAAATATTATAACTTCAATCATAAGAAAAAATAATAAGAGTAAATAGACATTCCATATCACATATTATCAGGGAAATGCAAATTAAAATAACCGTGATGTGGATGAGCTGTCTGAGCAGAGAAAAACAACACAGGCGCATGCCTGTAATCCCAGCTACTCAGGAGACTGAAGTAGGAGAATCGCTTGAACCCAAGAAGCGAAGGTTCCGGTGAGCTGAGATCATGCCATTGCACTCCAGCCTGGGTAACAAGAGCGAAACTCCATCTTGGGAAAAAAATTTTTTTTTTTTTTTTACAAATGGGCTCTCACTATGTTGCCCAGGCTGGTCTTGAACTCCTGGGCTCAAGCAATCCCCCAACCTTGGCCTCCCAAAGTGCTAGGATTACCAGTGTGAGTCATCATGCCCAGCCCTAATCTTATACTCTAGAAACCCTAAAGCCATGTGAATAATCCAGGCCTAGTTTGCTGGATGATGAGACACAGTCCCCCTAATGCCCCAGCTGACAGTCACTCAATACCAGACATACAAGTGATGCCACATAGGACCAGCCAGCCTCAACAACCCAACTAATGACCTCAGCTGCATGGGCAAGTTCAGCCAAGATAAGCTAAGCTGGATCCAGACAAGAATTACCTGGAAGAACACAAACTAATGAAAGATTGTTGTTTTAAGCCAATGAACTTTGGGGTGATTTATGAATTAGCTACAGATAACTGATATTCAAGGATTCATCCAAAGTTCCCTTAAAAGATAGAACCCATTAAGTCATTTTTAACACTTATTAGCAAGTTATTAAATCCTTAAAAGAAACTGAAAGTTTCAAAGGTATAGTGGGTTGGAAAAAGGAACAGAAAAAGAAACTAAAAGTGAAGGTTGAGACTGACAAGTAAGGAGTTATTTCTCCCTGCAAATGTAATCAGAAAATAAGGTAAAGTGTCTCTGAATGCATAACTAGAACAAGTAAAGAAACGATCTAATGGTTTTAGTAGTAAATATATGATTTCAGGGGCACATCCAGTGGAACGGTGGAGTCAGTGCACACCAACTTGTAAGATCCAGTCATGGAAACTGGCAAACATTACAATTTAGAACCAGTTGTTAAACCTTTATTAGTACATCACTGGAGACATCTATTGCTACAGGCACATTTCATCAGTATGTATATGCATAAATATATATACAAAATATTCTTAATGTTTAAAAAAGACATTGGTTGGTTCTGCCACAATCTGTGATCTTGGGCAAGTCAATTAGTCTCTTTGGATCTGTTTCCATATCAGTACCCAAAAATCATCTTTAAGATGTCTTTCAGCTTTACCATTCTATCTTTTATGCTTTTATGGTAATTACCCCTGGATGCAGCAATTGAAAAGTCCAATGGGATCAATCCAAATTGCCACACTTACCATGTTACTGACTACATATGTTACTCATCAGGACTGTTATTCAAGTAAGTGGTATAATAGTTATCCAATGTACTTTGCATTATGAGTGAGGAAGAGATTAATTTTGACTAGAGGGGAAAGAAGGGATGGTCTGGGCAAGATATTTTGTCAATCAGGAATGAGGAGGGCTCATCTTTGAACCCACAGTGGCTTGAACTCTATAGGTGCTTAATAAAATTTGCCGAAAATATTACATGCTTGGAGACAATATTATAAAGAAGAGACATTCTTGGCCAGACGCGGTGGCTCATACTTGTAATCCCAGCACTTCAGGAGGCCAAAGCGAGTGGATCACCTGAGGTCAGGAGTTCAAGTCAAGACCCGCCTGACCAACATGGAGAAACCCCGTCTCTACTAAATACAAAAAATTAGCCGGACGTGGTGTTGCATGCCTGTAGTCCCAGCTACTTGGGAGGCTGAGGCAGGAGAATCGCTTGAACCCAGAAGGCAGAGGTTGCAGTGAGCCGAGATTGCGCCATTGCACTCCAGCCAGGGCAACAACAGCAAGACTCTGTCTCAAAAAAAAAGAGACATTCTTGCTGAATTGAAGACTCAGAAGAGGCTGGGCGTGGTAGCTCACCCTTGTAATCCTGGCATTTTGGGGGGCCAAGGTGGGCAGATCACCTGAGGTCAGGAGTTCGAGACCAGGCTGGCCAACATGGTGAAACCCCATCTCTACTAAAAATACAAAAAATCAGCCAGGCATGCTGGTGCACGCTCATAATCCCAGCTACTCAGGAGGCTGAGGCAGGAGAATCGCTTGAGCCCATGAGGCGGAGGTTGCAGTAGGCTGAGATCGTGCCACTGCACTGCACTCCAGCCTCGGTGACAAAAGTGAAACTCCAGCTCGAAAAAAAAAGACTCAGAAGTAATCATAAGGTTTGTACTTGCTATTCTCATATATAATTGTGAGACTCTGCCTCCATTTCTCCATCTAAAAACAGGAGCTCATTTACAAGTAACATGACAAGAATTCAAGCAGTCATGACTGTGAAGCATTTCTGCAGGAGGATATGCTTTATAAGTATGAGGTTGTTACTAAATCAAAATGAATGCCTTTGTGCAAAACGAGAAAGCACATTACATATTGTTCCTGAGTATTCCTTCCCAGTGCATTCAAAGTATTTTCACATTCAGAAGGTTAAATAGCACATTAAAAAATAGTAGGAGGCTGATGGCTGAGCTCAATTGGGAAGATCTTTCTTTGGTGTTAGAATGTTTGAAAATTATTTTGGGAAGACTACGAGCAAGTTATTTTGAACTTCTGGGGAAAAAAATCTGCCTAAAAGCAGCGGAGACATTTATTTACGCCTTCAGCAAATAAAAGTTTACTCACTACCAGTGTTTGTGGGCTGATATTCAACTTATCTCCTGGAAATTTTAAAAATACACATTGAACCTGAAAAAGTATTATTTTAGTAAGGGTTTACCTGAAGTGCCCAGAACCATTCAAAATGATGGCACATAATATCTTTTTTTTTTTCTTAAAAATTTTTGGTATCTAATTGAAGATGCCTCTTAGAATATGTGGAAACCACACGTGCTATCTTGCATATCACTATCATTTCAGTTCTAATGTTATTAGGTGTTTAGCTACAGGCAAGTAGAATTATGGCATGATGTAATAGACTTTAATCAGTTGCTGAGAAACTACATACTCTATCTCCAGGAAAACACATATTCTCAAAAGTCTATATAATTTCAGGAGTTTCATAGATACCTCCACCCCAAATCCCATTCATGAAATCCTTAGCTTAAAATCCTGTGCACTAGAGCAATGTATTTTACAAAACCATATTCGGATGCCTGTGAAGCAATGAATGTGCTAGGCAATGTTAGGCGGTAGGAACAGTGATATACCTAATCAGACAGGGTCCCTAGAAGTCATGGAGCTTATAGTCTAGTAAGGGAGATGGATATTTATCAAATAATCACACAAAAAGATGCCTAATTACAAACTCTGATTAAGTGCTATGGAGAGATATACAGTCTTGCATGTAACAATGGAATCTAAAGAAGTTACATTTTAGGGGGCATACAAAGAATGTTGTGCAGGGAAGGTAGAGGAAACACATTATGGTAAAGTGCTGCAAAGGAAATAAGCCCATAAGGCCTCTTATAGGTTTAAGTTAGGACCTGAAACTTGTATACTTCATATGCTTTGAAATGAGACATATACTAAATTTAAAGTGGCTGATCGAATTAAAACATTTTCCATTCCTTGTCTACTAAATTGATAAAGATTTTTTAAAATTTTAATAGAAGTAAAGAGAAAACATTTCCATCTACTGCTGTTAGGAGTATGCAGTTTAGGCTGGGCATGGAGATCACACCTATAATCCCACCCAGCACTTTGGGAGGCCGAGGTGGGTGGATCACTTGAGGTCAGGAGTTCGAGACCAGCCTGACCAACATGGTGAAACCCTGTCTCTACTAAAAATACAAAATTACCTGAGTATAGTGGTGCACACCTGTAATTCCAACTACTTAGGAGGCTGAGGCAGGAGAATTGCTTGAACCCGGGAGGCGGAGGTTGCAGTGAGCCAAGATCGCGCCATTGCATTCCAGCCGGGCAGAGCAAACCTCCATCTCCAAAACCCAAAAAGGATACAGTTTAAACCACTGACTTTAAAAATGTACATAAACATGGATGCCTTCTGATTCAATGATTGCACTTACAGAAACAAATCTAAGAAAATAGTAATGATCTTGCTAGCTTCTGATGAGATTATAAGAAAAAAAAAGAAATTTGAAAAATAATAAAAAAACAGTAATAATCCACCAGGATATTAATAACAGCATTATTTACAAGATGGAACAAACAGAAACAATGATTACGTCTAACAGCAGGGGGTTAATTAAATTATGACAAGCTAGATTATAGAAGAATATGCACCCATTAAATCAGAGTACTTACGGAAAAAATTCCTATTAAGTGAAAAAAGCATTCCAAAACGGCATACATTATGAGCTCTATTTTTATTTTTGAAATATATTTATGCAGAGAAATACAAAGAAAGAAGGTATACAAAATGTTAATATTAAAAAAAAATAATAAGGCTTGGCACAGTGGCTCACACCTGTAATCCCACACTTTTGGAGGCCAAGGCAGGTGGATTGCTTTGAGCCCAGGAGTTCAAGACCAGCCTGGGCAACATGGCGAAACCCCATCTCTATAAAAAAATTAAAACAATTAGCCAGGCGTGGCAGCACACATGCGTAGTGCCAGCAGCTCGGGAGGCTGTGGTGGGAGGATTGCTTGAGCCCAGGATATTGAGGTTGCACTGCAATGTGATTGTGCCACTGTACTCCATCCTGGGCGACACAGCAAGATCTCTTTAAAAAAAAAAAATCAGTTTTTGCTATTGGCCTACTCAGAATATTCCAGCACTTAATTTCACTATTACCATCTATTCTACTAGTCATTCTCAACTAATGAACATCCAAATTCTCTGCTAATTAAGTGCTTTTAAAAGTCACTTTTGGGTGAGATGTTCAAATGAAGCCCTGGGTGAGAGTGCCCTCTGGTGGTTTCCAATAATGCTTGAACAGTAACTGTGCAGTGAGTTTTTCATGAAGCTAAATGTATTTAATTTAAAGAAGCATCCCATTTTACGAATTTTAAAATGTCTGCAAAACAGAAATAAGTAGATCTTTCATAAAATGTTAGTGATGGTGGATAACAGGTTCTTATCCCTGGGGGGCGGGGGAGGAACAGAGGGCAGGTGATGCTGGTGATGGAATATGTGCTTATTTAGCAAAATTAAAAATCAGCAAACCATGAAAAGCAAAATCCCAGAAAGCACAGTGTTAATCTATACTTCCAGTACAATAAAGTCAAAGTTAATTCTCCAAAGCATTGACACATAAGCATGTGGATTTAGGTGTCTTGGGTAAATCCCTAATTTAGTAGAGCTTTCTACTTGGAAGAGAAGAAAATCTTCGTCATTATATTTTGATTTTTCACTTCTTTCTACATTTATAACATAGCTAAAAATTTGTAGGATTCTGGATATAAGTCAACCTGAAAGAAAACCAAACATTTTTCAAGAATACACCATCGATAAAGCTGGTAAATATTTCTGATTTATCAAGTTCAATCAAACTTGTTTTTTTAATCTTTCCAAATGAAATTTATATTAATGGAAAAAGTAAACCACTTAAAAATATTTCCTTTGGGTAACAGAGGGTCAACATTATTATTTCCTTTACTCTCTCCTAGTCACTATTCCTCACACTTCACTGGCCACTTGAAACTTCAACTAGAGTTCCTTTATTAAAAGAACTAGATCAAACAATAGACTGAATGAGAAATTATTTTTCACATCAATTTTACAAATACTGTATCACAAACATTCTACAGTACAAATTTAAATAAAGCAAGCTTTCTACCTTATTAAAAGATTCTTCACCTCCTAAATAGAAACTGAAGAGGAAGCAATGCTATTAAGGATCACATATAAGCTAATAGAGGCAGCAGAATTATCTATTAACATTATCATAACACCAGTCTAGTGACCTTAATGTTTTAATCACAGAGCTGCAGCTGTTTGCACGTGTTCTAAAGCTAGCATAATCTTTAAGACAGCCAGGAAAAAAAAACCCTCAAAACAAATTACATAATATTCTATCTAGAAAAATTTCCAGGAAAGCGCATTCTTGGGTGAAAGGAAACCACCCCTTTGTCATTGTGATGCACTGAAAAAAAGCTTTGGAGCCTGATAGTTTGGCTCCTGGCTCTCCCACTTTTTTGGTAGGGTTCAAGTCACTGTAAAATGTAATTATACTCCTTCAAAGGATTATTTTGAGAATTTAATAAGAATGGATGGAAGGGGCCTAGCAGATAGTAAAACCTGATTAAAATATCACTAATTTAATTATTTCCTAGAAGATAACTGAAACATTACAATATTTATTTTCTTGGTAGACCGTATGAGTTTATTCTCAAAGGCAATTTAAAAATCTCCTTCATGAAAGCTATGTACCTTTTTATTAATCATATTTACCCTATTAACAATGTTTTGCTGATGATTAAAAATACTTAAATCACAGTAGACACCCAAAAAAAGATGTTTCTCAACTTATGGTAGAGTTACATCCCAATAAACCTACTATCAGTTGAAAATATTGTAAATTGAAAATGCTAGCCTGTCTTAAATATGCTCAGAACACTTACAGTAGCCTACAGTTGAGCAAAATTATCTAACACAAAGCCCGTTTTATAATAAAGTGTTGAATTTCTCATGTAATTTATTGATATTCTACTGAATATGTATGGCTTTGGCACTATGGAAAAGTCGTAAATTGGAGACTGTACATAAATGAAAGACTAAAATCGAAAAAGAAAAAAAAGAAAATAGGTTTCTCTAAATAAGAATGTCAAATCCAGAACTACTTTATATAAAAGTACACATTCTAATATATGAAAAGATATTTTATCATTATTACTTTACTGTATATTAGTGAATACACCAGACTACATTTTCTCAAATGGCAAATGAGGCACATTTCTCTTTGATTCCCCCAGGAACCTCAGCATCATCTGTCTTTTGGAGGATTCAGATTCGTACGACGTCTGTGATACCTTGAAAAGAAGAAAATACTTGGAATGAGACCATTTTAATAAAAATCATTCCTGATAAAAATCTAACTTCTATGATTATTTTGCTATTGGAACTATTTTTTAAAAATCAATGAAACTATGTATCAGGCATTTCTTAATAATAAGCCACATTCTCCCATTGTGAAAATTTGTTTTCCTTTTTTTATGTAATCATTTTTTTTTTTTCTAGAGACTGGGTCTTGCTTTATTGCCCAGGCTGAAGTGCAGAGGTTATTCATAAGTTCAACAATAGGGTACTACAGCCTCAAACTCCTGGCACAAGGGCTCCTCCTACCTTACCCTGCCTAGTAGCTGGGACTACAGGCACACCACCACATGTGGCTAAGTTGTTGACTATTAATTATATTAAGCATTTGAAACAGTTTTCTTTCATATCTTGAGGATAATTACAACATGGTAACCTAGATGACTGATTTTGAATTAAAAACTAATGGTTTTTTGTCTTAGTAGTAAAGCAATATCACATCTGGTGAGATTTAGGCTTCTAAAACATAAAAGAAACATCACATTGTGAACACGAATGTGTTCTGTTAAAGTTTTATTTACAAGGGGCTATTTTCCTCTAAATGGAGGTCTTTAAAATGCAAAATCATGTTTTAATATAAAATAAGATATAACTAGTAATATGTTTGTGGAAAAATGTATGATGTCATGAAAAATGGAGGAATTGCAAATCAGAACAGGGAGGAACCTTTTACTTGTTTTTGAGATCACAAACATGTTAAAAATCATAATGCCCAATCCAAGCCCAGGTGTGGTGAAATTAGCACTATCAGACCCGACTGGTTAAAAGTATAAACTTTTACTTCAAAATACTTTTGAAAAGCAATATGATAAGATGTATCAAAAAATATTCATAACTTTTGACCTAGTAATTCCTCTTCTAGCACTCTGTCCCAAAGGAATATAGAAAAAGTAGTTAAAATATTCAGGAAGGCCGGGCGCGGTGGCTCAAGCCTGTAATCCCAGCACTTTGGGAGGCCGAGACGGGTGGATCACGAGGTCAGGAGATCGAGACCATCCTGGCTAACACGGTGAAACCCCGTCTCTACTAAAAAAATACAAAAAACTAGCCGGGCGAGGTGGCGGGCGCCTGTAGTCCCAGCTACTCGGGAGGCTGAGGCAGGAGAATGGCGTGAACCCAGGAGGCGGAGCTTGCAGTGAGCTGAGATCAGGCCACTGCACTCCAGCCTGGGCGACAGAGCGAGACTCCGTCTCAAAAAAAAAAAAAAAAAAAAAAAAAAAATTCAGGAAGAACACAGGAGCAAATTTACATATACAGTATGATTATAACCATATAAAAATAAGCAAACTAACGAAACTTACGTATAGATATAGAGAAATGAAATGCATTGTTAGCAGTGATAGTTTTTGAGTGATTTCACCATGGAGAATTTTTTGTTTTGCTCCTCTGCATTTCCTTATTTTCTTCACTGATTTAAGAAAAATGTCTGCATAGAGTACATGTGCTTTTGTGATGAGTTATCTTCAAAAATTTCCTTCTGGTCAGATTTTGGAAGTTGGTCACAAGTTAATTTTTGTTTTCAATTTTTTGCTAATGTGGAAATTCAGTTTTATACTATAAATGGTAAGACATGTACCCTACGATCTTTAGTTGTTGTGATTAAGATAGCTAAAGCATTTTTTTGCTTCAGGTTTCATAAAGGCAACTTCCTGACACACTTATTTTTTTTCTGGAAAATTTGCAAAACACAAGAACTAAATTGAAAAGAATGAATTACATCTGTATATATCAACATGGAACAGTAAGTTGTCAAAAAATACACACAGTAAAATACCATTTACATAAACATTTCTACATGTACTTATGTTGGCATAGAGAAAATTCTTCTTTTTTTCTAAAAGGTTCCATTGACATACCAGATAATCAAGGTTGTACTAGTGCAATAGCGTCTCTGAAAGGCATTCTCTCAAAGTAAGGAGAATGGTCATTGGGAATAGCGAGCGGTTCTAGAAGGGGTTTGGGAAGTCAATAACCTCTTGAAATTATTTGTAAAAATTGTGAATATGTGTTTTTCTGGGCAGTGGATTGAAAACTTTTATTAGACTCTCAATGAAGTCTGAGACTTTCAAAATGCTAAGAACCATCCATTAAAAATGTCATTCAGCATACACTGTTCAACTGTATTTACTACTCAAAACTGAAAATGTTTGAGACTCTGATAGCCCTAAATTGAGCAAAGTCAAGTTCTAAAATATGCTCAACAAATGTCAAATGGCATTCACAGATTTCTTATCATGCATGAATTTTAGTGTACACTACAATCACTAGCCAAAAGCAAGCACCTTAATTTTAGGATGACCTTATTCTATCATCCAGACTGGGAACCTTGCAGGCACTATTAATAATTAATACACAAGTTAAATTGAGATTGCTCCTGGCAAACCAAGTTATATTGTTACACTTCTTAAATTACACAATAACTCGGTGACATCTGGAACACTGGTCCACAGCTCTTAACCCAGAAAACTTTACCTCCTGGTTCATACTAAGCTAGGTAATCAAATCTGTTTCCTACTGATGGAAGTAGCTAATTTTTGTTGTCTCCATGGGAAAATATTAAAGTCGTTTCTTAAATGAAGTAGTACTATTACTCATGCATTTGTAAGATTGCCCTATATTTCAGAAATTTAGAATTATTTTCTCCTTCCTTCATGCCTGTCTGCCTCTCTCCCTCCCTACACCCCCTTTCTTTTTCTCTCCTCCTTTCTTTCCTAGAGTCAGGGTCTTGCTCTGACACCCAGGATGGAGTGTAATGACACAATTATAGCTCATTGCACCCTCAAACTCCTGGGCTCAAGTGATCCTCCCACCTCAGTCTTCTCAGTAGGTAGGACTACAGGCATGCACCACCATGCCCAACTAATTTTTTAAAATTGTGGGGACCGGGCACAGTGGCTCATCCCTGTAATTCCAGCACTCTGGTAGGTCAAGGTGGGCAGATCAGTTGAGTCCAGGAGTTCGAGACCAGCCTGGGCAACATAGCGAAACCCCATCTCTACAAAAAATTTAAAAAGTAGCCAGGCATGGTGGTATGCATCTGTAGTCCCAGCTACTGAGGCAGGAGAATCTCCTGAACCCAGGAAGCAGAGGTCATAGTGCGCTGAGATCAGGCCACTGCATTCCAGTCTGGGTGACAGGGCACGACCCTGTCTCAAAAAAAAAAAAAAAAAACAGGTATTACGAGAATCAGAATCATTTATCCATTTTAAAATGTGTGAGCACCTACTATGTGTAGATCCTAATCATTCTGTAGTACACAAAACAAGATAAAAATCCCGACTTTCATGGATCTTACATTCCAATACAGGAGATAGGAAAATAAGATAAACAAACTGGTCAGGGAAGGCTTCATTGAGTAAAACCCTGAAGGAAGTAAGAGAGCTAGCTTTACTGATACTGCGAGGAAGAGTGTTCTATGCAGACAAACAGCAAGCATAAAGGCCCTGAGGTGGAAGGAAGGGCATGTTCAAAAGCAAAAAAGAGGCCATCTAGCCAGAATACATGAACAAGGAAAAGACAGTAGGGCATGAGAGCAGAAAGGTAATGCAGGACCAAATCATGTAGGTAGTTGTAGGCCTAGAGTATTTGAGTGAGATAGGAAGCTGTTTGAGGATTTCCTTTTTTTTTTTTTTTTTGGAGACGGAGTCTTGCTCTGTCACCCAGACTGCCATGCAGTGGCGCAATCTCAGCTCACTGCAAGCTCTGCCTCCTGGTTCACGCCATTCTCCTGCCTCAGCCTCCCGAGTGGCTGGGACTACAGGCGCCTGCCACCATGCCTGGCTAATTTTTTTTTTATTTTTAGTAGAGACGGGGTTTCACCATGTTAGCCAGGATGGTCTTGATCTCCTGACTTCGTGATCTGCCCGCCTCTGCCTCCCAAAGTGCTGGGATTACAGGCGTGAGCCACCGCGCCCGGCCTGTTTGAGGATTTTCAACAGAAAAATTACAAGAACCAAGGGAAGTATTAACATGGTTACTCTGGCTGCCATGCTACAAACAGACTGCAGCAAAGCAAAGGAAGCAGCTGGGAGACCAGTTAGGAAATTATTTCAACAAAACAGGCAAGAATGGTGATTTGAACTAGGATAGTGGCAGAGGGAATGGTGATAAGTAGTCACATCTGGATACATTTTAGAGATAGAGCTAACAAGATTTGCTAACAGACCAGATGTTGGGTATGAGATAGAGAAAGGAGTCAAGAGTGGTACCAAGGTTTTGGCCCAAGCAGCTAGAAGAACAGAACTGGCATTAACTGAGAGAGCAGGCTGCAGGAAAAGCTGGTTTGTGGAGGACCATGAGAAGTGCAGTTAGACACATACCAAGTTAAGGATACCTACTACACATGTCAAGTAGGCAATAGGATATATAAGCCTAGAGGTCAAGGGACAGGTCTTGACCACAGATGGATTTGGAAGCCATCATCACACAGATGGTATTTAATGCCATGGGACTGGATGAGATTCCTGTCCTAGAGAATGGAAGAGAAAAGTGGAGAGGTCCAAGGACTGATTCTTGGGGCACTCCAAAATCTAGAGACAAGGGAGATGAAAAGGAAGCACCAAGATAAATCAAGATAGTATATTAACTTCAGATATATAAAAAGAATTTCAACAGTTACTAAGGTCGAATTAATGAGAAAAGTAACAGACACATCATCAGGAACTCTATAGAGATACGGGGTCCCCCAGAGAAACTCCGACCAGCCTGTGCACTGGGAAAATGGGGTAGAGCCTCGGGAAGTTCGTGCTGTTTGCAGGAAAAAGGAGCCTGGCCTCTCATGATCTGGTGTGGTAACCTGGGGATTCAATCTGTGAGATGTGGGCCTGTTAACAGGAACCTCTCTCGCTTTGCTGAGTTTTTTCCTTTTCACCTGATAAACCGTGTCCTTCCTCACCCTTCAAATTGTCTGTGAGCATAATTTTTTGTGGTTGTGTGT